GTACTTCAAACATGTAATCTTGAAAAATCAAAACTGAGATTACTTTAATCTATTAGCCACTTTGTAATGATTAATTATATTAATAATACAACATTTTTTATTTCTATGATTTTGTATTTTTTTTGTTGATAGTTATTTTGGAACTGATTAATTATGCTAATATAAATATTTTTCATAATTTATATTATTGACAAAATGTTATCTGTAATTATTAAAATAATAGTTACAACTTCTACAGTTTGTATAACTAAGCAGACTTCTACTTATATTTTAAGTAACAATTACAACATTTACAGCCCAAATCTCTACAGCAAAAAATCTACAGTTAAAAATTTGAAAGACACTTACCAAGCACCTCTTAGGTGTGAAAATGTAGAAAAATATGGTCTTTGATTAGGCAGAAGACCTGCATTATATCCTTGTTTGGTTTCTTATCTTTCGACATGTGTTCTTCTTGAAGGGGACTTATTGTTCTGCTACATGGATTAAACGAGCACAGGTTTGGGACCTTTTTCTCTATGGTATGCACCAATTTTATTTGGTTATAATTTTCTTTGGCATTAGGAAGCTTAACATTGGTCTCTTTTCCAAAAAAAATTACAGTGGCACGTATAGTGATTTTGCAAAGCAGCTAAATGCTAACGGGTTCAAGGTCTATGGAATTGATTGGATCGGTAATCTTACTTCTCTTTCACCTTCTTTATTTGACAGTCTAGGAGCTTCTATCCTTGTGTCCGGTTAGTCTGCTAGGTCGAACATAAACTATCTTCCTCAAGCATCACATTAAAAATTACCTTAGTATAAACCTAAGTGTGGTTTTCAACTATAGATCTTGATGATATTAAAGGTGTAGGGGTTAGAATTACTAACATAGTCTTGGTCTTGAACATTTGGTGCGATATTTGAAACACGTTCTTGATGGATATAAGCGGACCTTAGTACCTTTAAAAATGCAGAAATGCAAAAGTGGTTTACGATGCAGCTGTTTCGTAGGCTAGAACAATGTCGACGCGAATGTGATCATGTGATATGTTTGCAGAATTTCAAAGACTGAAAACATGAGTTCAAAGTAAGCTTCTGCCTTATCGATTTGTGATTGTTAACATCGATGAGAAAAAGAAGAAGGAGATTGCAGAGACATGTGAGTTTCCAAATCCTGCGGTAAATTGATAAAAGAAGATTGAAATTCAGGTAAATTAGAAAACGGAGTCACCAACTTTGGAAGTGACGCTTCCTTTACTGATCTCGCTCTCCATTTGATGGGTTTGTTTGTGAAGTTTTTTAGAGGTCGAGAGGAAGCTTGAGACTTTAGGTTTGAAAATTTTGAAATAACAAAAAGAAAGAGATGTTTTAGTAATAGTTTGTGTATTATAAAGAAAGAGACCTTTTAGTAAGTTTGACTGAAATTATAATTTATTGTTTGCTTTTATTGATGTTTTAATTTCTTTTATAATTGTATAATTTAAATTCAATATATTTGACAAAATATTCATTTAAATAAAATATTTAGTTTCGTTTTTTATTCAAATAACA